AAGAAGACGCAAGAGTACTGGTTTCAACCTCAGTGAGAATAAGAGTAGACTTCCCATTTTTTCTATCAAGCTTTTTAATGAACATGTGATCACCATCACCTTCAAGAACCTCGTATAAGGATTGTGGAACATTGCAGGACTTACCGATAACAAAACAAAGCTCTGACCCTGAAAGAGGGGCACCAACAGGAATAGGAAAGTAGCCGGCAAGGGCAGTTGCATAGGAACATAGCGTCAAGGCCATATCCGCCAACAAGATGACCACGATCAGAAAAGAGCGGCTTTGGGGGGCGCAACGAGGATGCGAGCATACTTCGAGAAACTGTCTGTTGGAAATGAGAGCAACAATCACATCGATTGGAGCGAACGAGAAGACACTGCAAAGGAGAGAAGTGTCGTTGACTACAGGAGATGACTGCGAGAAGGAGATAGCATCGTCGTCTATGGGAGTCAAACGTCGTCGGCTAAAACAACCTTTATCGACTACGAGTGACGACTGCGAGCGATTTTCCTTGATGGGAGAGACGATAGCGAGCGAGAGTCGTCGACTGAGAGCTGCGCGCTCGTGAATGTGTCGTCGTGGGAGACAACGGAGAGAAGGAGAAGCCGATAGATTCACCGTTGAGAATCACCCTCGGGCAAAACACTAGAAGAACCCGTTGCCGCTACTGACATATATATATATATATATATATATATATATATATATATATACATAGATTCTAGGGCAGATTATACAAAAAGTTGCATGAGATGACCCAATAGATGATGCCCTACTTATACGATACATGGTACCAAGATATCCCAACAAAAAAGATACAAAAAACTCAAATAAAAAGAAAACATGCAAAAACAAGTGCTATGGACGAGACAATTTAGACCTGCCTCTTCTGGTTCTTGGAGCGGATCCAGATAGAAAACTCTGAAGTGTTGTTTCATTGCCAGGAGTGACCAAGGTATCATCCATTAAGTTTCCAAGCTGAACTGTGTCCCCAGCCTTCTTCCTCCGCCGAGAAGTGTAAACTTGTCATTCTTCTTCTGAAGACTGTTCAGTCTGATCCGTAGAAATCTGATTCATAGAAGGAAAGACTGTTGCAGCGATGAGTTCCTGAGTTTGTGTAGGACAGTCTTCCAATACTTGGGAAACACCTGCCCCCTGAACAAGTAGTTCTACTAACTGATTAATAGCAGTAAGATGGTTTGTGTTCGGCTCTAAATCTTTCTCATTAGTATTAAGTGACTCCTTTTCCGTCATTTGAATATGAATGTTTGCTTCATCCCTATCTTCAATCACCTCATAGAGGGGAGCCTGAGCACCCTCCACGGTAGGTAGAGCTTGAGAGGATAGTATGTCCACTCCAGTAGAAGAAGGGGCGGTGACCGCGTCCTGCCTTCCAGGAGCAACCATCTAATTCTCCTCCAACAAATTATCAACATTTTCCGAAACAATATTAGTAGACAAAACATTTTGCACCGTATCCGCCATGGGCATAGCAGTAGGTATCACAGGCAGTGAGGAAGAGGGCATAACCTCCGCAGAAGTGTGCTGAGAAACAGGAGGTGGGGCTACAACCGACCGTAGATGGGGATGCAACCGATAAGAGGATGAAGAGCTATGACCAAACATTCCACAGTGAGAGCAGTAATGGGGATGAGGTCCCATCGCAATCTTCTGCCAATAACCCTGATGAGGGGAGCCAATCCAAATCTTCGTTGGAAAAAGTTGAGTGATGTCGCGCTCTACAAGCACACAAGCTTCAGATAGTCTGGTTGTATCAAGCGTGGGAGTATCGACCTTCAGCGGTTTCTCAAAGGTAGTTTTCAATGTATAAAGGGCTTCATAATTGAAGAGATGCACCTTGAGCCCTGAAAAATTAACCCAAATCGGGATAATAGGAGATTCTAATTTAGAATCAAAATCCACTATCCATTTCAGAATTTTTATAAAGCGATTATCGATTTTGAGACCTATTTGAGCAAAGAGTTGGGTATAATCTACGTCATTTGAGAGTTGAATGAGAACGTGACGATTTTGAGAACTTTTTGAGCAAAGAGTTGGGTATAATCTGCGTCATTTGAGAATTGAATGAGAATGTGACGGCCATCTAGCGAACCAACTTTCTAATTCCCTGTGAACTTAAGAAAATCGAAATACTTTCTAATAATCTCAAGCTTGGGATTTCCATACGAAAATTTCCCAACAAGAGTATATCTGCATGCTGAAGCCAATATACTTGTTTCCTCATCAGTGAGAAACAAATGTATAACCACCTCCAAATTCATGTGCATCATGAAATTCTTGAGGGAAGAAACTGGAACGACCGCCTGCCCCGTGAGTAGAACCGCAGGAGACAGCCGCGGCATAACTTGGGGCCATTCCCCCAAACCGGAACAAAAACCCCACGCGCGAACACTGGAGCTGGAGCTACGACGAAGGAACCCAAATCTCGAACAGAAACAGGGAAACGACCGCGGTCCGACGAGCAGGAGGAAAGAAAGCCCTTCGTCGTTGGGAACGAAGACCGAAGGATGCAAGCAAGCTCGTCGTCTGGCAGGAAGGAGATGACTCACGAGCAAAACGAAGGCGAGAAGCCCTTCGTTGTCGGGTGCGACTAAGCCGAAAGCCGCGAATCCTCGTCGTCTCCTACGACGACGATGCCCGTACAGGAAGCCGATAGTTTCAATCGCCATCGGCTGAATCCCTAGAGCAGCCCGACGCCGTCTCCATCGGCCGAAGATGAGTTCAGTCTTTATATCATTTTTTGCAATTATTATATTTGCATATTATTCCTCTACTTTGAGTAAACTCTAGGTTAGACAAGTAGTTGAGAGGTAATTTTTGTTTGCCAACCTCACGTGCCACTGCCAGCAGAGCTCCCTTATAGTCTATCTAGCTACAGAGCACCCCCCCATTTGTCGCTTATTCACAATAGCCAACTTTACGCCTGATAACTAATTAAAGGAGTAGTTTTATGAACTATTACAGTCAATGACGTGATTAGAATGTTGAGTCTTTTTCATTGCAATTTGACAGTCCTTCATCGATAACGGTTTACACACAATATTCAACACAGTGGTACTCATACCATTTGCTCATATATTTATGTTACTCGGTTGTATTTGGTGGACATCCAGGACAACTACTTGATCTACCATGCTATGAGAACAGCTAATTGGTTTGCTTGCTCCAAATTGGTTGACCATGAAAGAGTGAGGGATCTCTAGTATTAAGGTTTTGATTTGTCAGCACTGTGGGCAGTGGGACCTATTTGGTCAAGTTCTTGAGGAAGGTTGTATTAAGTACATCGTCTTCACCTATATTACACAACTAATTATTTCTATTTGAGGCATGTCTCTCTGCTTGCTTCATCACCAACACGGCTTTATTTTTCATCATCCTACTTATACTTTTGCTCCAATCCATAATCTGTTTATCTCATACACCCCAACCTAGTGAAGAAAACACCACGCCTTCACTCAATCTTGAAAATTTTGTTGATCAGCCTTGGCCAATCATTCACAGCTGAATATGAAATTATTCAAATGGATTACCAGCTTTTTGGCCTGGGTCTCATTTTAATCGATTCTAAATAATGAAAAACCTTGGCAAAAAATCTGGGTTATTATAGTCATGAACCCTTCATAGAGTGGGCCCTGGGTGAGGTCACATGAAACAATCACGCGTGCAACGCCAGAGTGAATGGTGAATCGCTGAGGACTCTCTTAATTTGTAATTCCTATGGGGCTTGATTTTGCGATGAACCCAATTGTATAATTTTAATGTGAAATATGTTGGTTCCATTTATTTTTTTTAATTAGTATCATTTTATTGTGCTATTGAGTTTGTGCAAGTGTCTTCTTGATTCCTACTTGTTTTTTTATGGCATGTAAATCAACTGTATATCAATATTTTCTACTATTTTGACAACGTTTTCAGTTTAGTTGGATCAAAGATGGGCAACACTTTGTCGTCTCCTCTATGAACTGTTCTCTGAGCCTATGCTTCAATGAGCCTTAGGGTCTTTTGTCTTCTTTCAGCTAGCGGCTCTTGTCTTTCTCTCTTTGTAACTATGCCTAAAACATATAGAGAAGATTGGAGGTAAGGCATGCGATTGGTGATAAAAGTGAGGCACAAATCTATGCTTTGACGTGCAATTAGACTTTGTTTTTTTGTGTCTTCTTCAACATGGTGAGCTAGATCGCTCCCACGAATTTGGCTTTAATTTTTCTCGACATGGAGAGATTCTTTGATCCCACTTTGTGTGGCGTTTGGGCGATGTCACTGAGATGGTCGTGTGCTCAGGTGTGAGGAATGAGGAAATGAAGACGTGTGCATGAGTCGCTCATTATGATTGGTTCCACATGGCTTGTGCCATTCTTTGCTTGATTCTTAGATTTTTGTTTATTGATAAGAAAATCAATTTCGTATCCATTTTTGGACTTGTTTAGCAATTAAAGCATGAACAGCTGCTTTGAGTACATTCTTCACGTTCAGCTACTGGAATGGGTAGTCCACTGGATAATAACGAGTGTCAAAATAGAGGACTCACTTTGATCTTACTGGTACTTGCTAGCCAGTGGGCTTGGCGATTTCTTGATGCTATGGTCGGTCAAACTTGAATTTTGATTCTCATCAGGTGATCATTCATTCTGTTACTGGCAATCAGGGACGCCTGCTGCTTTTTAGATCTCGGGTAAGAGCATGGCTTTTAGTTTTTAGCAAATTTTTAAGCTGTCATGCTATCATATTATTCCTATGTTGATTATGTTCCTTTGGTTATTTGTTTGGCCTATTCGTGTGTATGTTTGTCATGGAGGGGGTATATATGTGAGTGATTTTGACGGTTTGTAATTAATTGTTCCTTTCTTTTTAGTCGTTAGACATGGGTAACTTCAGTAGTGTTTATTCATGTTTTTCTATTTTTTACTCTTTAAACATATATCTTGTTCGTGTCTTTTTATTCAATCATAATGGTGGCTTGATTTTTTATCTCCTTCAGATGTCAAGATCGTGAAATTTAGAGAAGTTTTACAGGCCACAACTCTTCAGATTTCCTCGTTGACAGTTTTGGCTCATGGTAGTCATTTAATTACATCTAAAGGTACCTCAATTTTTTTTCTTTTTTAATTCTTTTTAGATGGAGTTGATTGAGTATTGGCACTTCTTTTTGCTCTCTAGTCTTTTATCACTTTGCGGATTAATTGTTATGCAGCCCTTTTGTTCATATTTTCAAAAGCTACTTACATGTCCTGTTTACCTTTTTTCTTTACTATACTGTATTTGGTGATTTAATTTATGTGTTGACTGTCTTATTCTACGATATAATGATTAGCAAATTGATTCATCTGTCAGCTTGTTGATTAGTTAAATATGGTAGCTGGCTTATTAAATATATAAGCAGGGCTTTACATATTAAGCTACTAGATAAAGAATATATGTTATAGTTTTCTAGTTTCCCTCTATCAATATGTGCTTCATTTATTTCTCCTTTTTTTAGCAATTAGAAGTTGACTATTTTTAATGGTTCTCCTAACTAAATTTTTAGTCATGATAGGTTTAATCTGCTGAATTTTCTTTGAGATTATTGTAATATAAATTTTAATCAAGTACCCATATATTGTACTTCATCTAAATGTGAATCCAATGGCTTTGATGCCCTTCTTGACCAATTTGTTAGAGCAAATCCTAATACAATTTTTTTTTTCTCACCAGTCACATCATGTTCCCTTCCCAATTGCCATGTTGTAATCTTTCTGATCCTTCAAGATGAGATTTTCATCCTTGGAAGTTGAAACCAATACGTCTAAATTCATTATTTTTCATGTGAATAATAATAAGCTTCATGCATGCGCCAACCTTGTATTGCCTTGTTGAGTTTTAGCCACAAATACGTTTCCTCCAAAGATTCTACAATGCCTATGCGGCCACATCCTCTTCCACATGAAGAATAACTGTTGACGTCTCTTGTGTCCTTTTGCCACTTTTATCTAAATCGACAACAATCTCACCCTTGCTGGTTCATTTACCTGAGCATACATTTCTTGTGCCTCATCACCCTAGTGGTCACAGAAGCCACAGAATGAACCAATGTAGAACACTTGGAATATATTACGTACATGTTGCATAATTTCCACTCCCAAATTTCACTCTTCCTTTCTCCCTTTAGAAATTCACAAATTATTTTTTTGTGAATAACATACATAGCTCTACGTTTGGGCCAATGGCTAGGTTAACAGCAGTCCTTATGCCCAATTTCCTCTAGAAGTATAGTCACAGGGAGTGAATTAAATGCTAACGAAGATTGGATGAAGTGAAAACAGTTGAAACAAAGGAGACTTGAAATGCTACTTCAGAATCGTGGAAGACGACATGAAGAATTGCTCTTTAAGTGACCTATTGAAGATTCATTCATTTTTGGTACAGTTAATACAAATATCATTTGTCTTTGATTTTTTATCCAACTTTAAGGTAGCTCTTTTGTTATTGACTTTTGATGGGATACTTGGAGATCTTTTTATCTCACTAGTGATTCTGTCAAGTTCAAACTTTTGCTCATGGCTCCTGGTTGTTATTAATGAGGTGATTGAGCTGACCATCAAAGACTTTTGGTGCAAGTGATTGTGTCAAGGTCAAACTTTTGCTCATGGCTCCGGGTTGTTATTAGTGAGGTGATTGAGCTAACAATCAAAGACTTTTGGTGCTATTGTTGCACATAGGATAATTTTTTGATTGTCAAGTAGGTATTTAAGATGCAATTGAGAAGTGACCGTTTATCCAAAGTAATAGACCCACCAGGATCTTGAAGATGTTCATAGCTAATACATGGTTTTTATGGATTGGGCCTACATGCATCAACACTAAAAATAAAATGAAAAAATTAGGTTATGAACCACATTATACACTTCTTGTGAATTGAAACACTTCCCCATTCAGTTTATTCTTTTGTCCTGAAATATAGTAGACACAAAAAAAGGTGGCTTGCATTTTAAAGATATCAAGAGGAAAATAGAGGGAATGGATAACTAAGGGCTTGTTTGACATCAGTTCTTGTTTCTTTTTTTAATCTAGACGGAATATGTTTGGGAATGTTTCTTTTTTGTTTTTTATTTTAAAAATAACTCTAATTCATTTAAAATGCCCAAAATAATAAGTTGCTTTTATGATTTTCAAAATATAAACTTTCAACCACTAGACCATCTGCATCACACTTTCCAGTCTCGCATTTGCCCTTGTCCAACCCTACACTCGTTGCTGATAATATTCATAAGATAATATTTTCCTAATAAAAATTAGATAAAATGAGTTCGTTGGCGATTGTTTAATGAACAAATATTTTTAAGCTGACTATAACCTAAAGGAGGCATGGGGAAATTATATTTAGGTGAACCTATGACAAATTTAAAAATTATGCTATCATCTGTACTTCCCAACCAGTCATCTTGGAAGTGAAACACATGCTGAAGTCACATATTGTCATTATATTTTGTGTAGGTGAGTGACAACGACTAATATATGTCATTTTGTTGTATTAGGAACACGAGTATTCACATGCATTTCGTCAATCGCTCTGTTGTAATCCTGAATCATACAATAGTTTATTGATCTTAAAATCAATGTGAATTATTAATAGAAAAAAGTAGAGTGTAATATATACTTTAAAGTGTGACATATACTGATAGTCATAGGATATCTCTGATGGCGTTGCTTGAAATGATGTTGCTATGACTTGATAACTTTGGAGGACAAGCTAGACATTTAGATTAATTGAGAAATACCTACCGATTGTTACAGAGGAATGCAAAAATTGCTTGATTGTTTCCCAAAAATTCGTAATGTAACAAAATATTCAATGTTATAGCCAACATTTCTCTGGTTGCCTGAAAGGATCCGTAGAGATTGTGATAAGTTTCTAGCCCTTGTAAATGATCTAAAAAAATAAAAAGCGACATACGAAACATGTTCTGAAATCTCCAGGGTGACCCATGAGTAATTCAACAACCCATTTCTTCCCAACAAGGTAGAGATCATGTATGAAGTCTTGCAAATATAGGATTCATAGTGCTCATTCATCAAGCATATAGCTGTGACGGTGATTTTCGTACATTGATCTTTGTGATTAATACATAATTGCAAACATAAAAGAATTCAAATTCTGAGTAGCGTATCATACTCCATTTTGTATTAACTAAGCATAATCGAGCATCACCAAACTCATTAGACTTCTTTCAAATGTGATTTTCAATGTAGTTTATTCAAAGCACCAAACAAATGCACAACAAAACCTTCCTAACAAATCGAGAGAAGAAAATGAATGAAAACGTAGGGCTCAAATTTATAGTTCAACATTGGTGCCCTCATAGCCATTGGAGATGCGTCTTGGATCTAGGTAAGAAAATTTCTTTTTTCATTAAAATCGTACATATGTGGCAAATAAATTAAGCATATTTGAATAAACGTCATGAAAATGGCTCTAATGTTATTGCCAAGTAAGATGATGCTTTGAACCGTGTACGCTTATCGTGAATTGGTTGCATCATAGCCCCGAACTACTAGATCTATTGACATATTGCATAGTCATACAAAAAACTTATTAAGAAATAGCTCACATGCTTCTACTTCATGCTAAGTGTGACATAGAAGAGCTGTATTCCAGCTCACATACAAGTGTGACATAAAAGAACCACATAACCGAAAGATATACTGTTATCACATCGAATTTGAATCATTTCATGTTCTGCGTTACAGTTCCTTCATTCAAACCAAATAAACTATCCAAATAGCTTGAAAAAAATGGAAACCAGACTTTCTACCTCACATGCATCTACTTCATATTTATAAACATAAATTGTTGTAGGGTACCTGTGTTGATCAAAAGATTCACCATTAATTATACGCACCAAAAGCCATAAAATTGAAATTAGCTTCAAGAATTCCAACCACAAAAATCACTGAAATTGGGAAATCAAAAACTAAAAAAAAAATGAAACCTTCTTCAAGCATTCGAAGAATGATAATTCTACATTTCTGCCCATCGATCAACTTTCAGATGATTCATATGAAACACAAGTAAAAAATTACTGAATCCTAAGATAGAAGAGACAATCGTACAAATCAAACTCACCTAAAAGTCAACACAGAGCTAGAAATTAGAAAGGGAGATGAGCCTTTATATCAAAACAGGTGGAAAAGGTGAACACAACCTCCATTGCCAAGAGAAGACAATAAAACTGAAGAAGAGCTCAAGCTAGGAACGAAGGAGCAAGAAAAATGAAGGGCCTAAGGATAATTAGGGTTGAAAACATTGAATGAAGCCACAAGCCGCTCGATGGAAGGTGGGTTTGCAAAACAGAGTTTTTAATTCTTGCTTATCTAGAAAACCGAGTTTGGGAGGTATTGTTCGAACCGCGCTGCACATAGAACGATGGCCCAAACACACCCTTAGTATTGGGAATGGCATAGGGAATCACGTAAGTGCCCATTGGAACCGTCCATTAATAAGATTTAAAAGATAAATTTAGGAACCTTTAATTTATAGAGAATATTTGTGATATAGTAATCTCTAAGAAATATATGTTATTTCTTTTAAAACCTCGTTTTGTTAAGAAGTATTGACTCGGGAGATTTGGTGGATGGATCACTAATATAAGAGTTATTTTTTGTGATTGGTTCAAAGTATTTTTTGACATTGTGGGGTTTTGGGAAGAAATTTTGGTTTGAAATTCTGTGTGGATCATGGGGTTGAATTGTGTATGCTTTTGTTTTGCTTTGAAATTTCTTCTATTAAGAAAATTTAAGTGAGACGGGTTTGCTGATGTAGAAAATAAATCATCTAGCTCCAAAGATTTTTTTTTTTTTTTTTTTTTTTTTTAACTCTAGATGGTCCTCACATTATTACGGGCTAAAGCAAAAGGTTGTGAAGATATATAGGCCTGATTGGGATAGGAACTACACGTGTTTGATTAGATGACAAATTTCACATTGAAAGTCATTTGAAAACATTTTTAGTGAATTGGAAAGCAATTAATTTTTCCAAGGTAATTAAAGTTTGTCGTAGATGATTGCGCGAAAGCCAGGCACTAATACCATTCTTTAAAGTGTCTT